TCCTCCCTACAGCGGGGGATTGGTCTCCGAAAGTCGAGCCTCAGTAGGAAGCGGTCCGACCATGACAGGGGCAAGATCTCACTACCCCTCAGACCAAGTACATAATCAATCGTTTTTCAACATAGTCTGGCAAGTAATATTGATTTTGTGAACCACTGAGAAGGATAATTGAACCACACTTTGAAAAACACTAGTATAAAGATGAATGAAATGTTTACAATGTATACATACTTGACAAAAAAACTAGAGCAAGTAGATGAATTTACTTTTCTTTTTAAAAATATTAATTAAAGACGGAAAATGCATGGAAATATTTTAAGACATGCAAATACTGGTAGAATGTCATGTTGTCGGTTCTGAGGAATGAATGTTGAACAATGCTAAAAAGTTGCATTCAAGAGCTTGTTTCTCTCCACTATATTATAGAGAAGTGGGAGTTTAGTATTTATGTACTTATTTCCATTTCTAAAGCCCTCCAACTTCTTGACCTCTCTGAGCAGCATATGAAATTAAAAGCAAAGGTAAAGAACAACATCAGACAACAGAAAAGGGAGATGGTCATCTGATGGAACAGACATAAAAGTATGTCAGCAAAAAGATAAAACTAAGTAGACTATAGTAAGAGTTGGCATCAGACATCTCTTGTATTTACCCAAAATGGAAATGGTTAATCTAAAGAACAAAGGTCTCAAAGTTCTGATTGATGATATTTATTAGATGCAAAGTGAGGTTACAACACATAAATTCCAGCCTGTACTCTATTTTCAAATAGGAAAATTCTACTCAGGCAATATAAGCAGCAATGTTCTGGGACATTTTCTCATGTTTTTGGAGTAAAAGGGAGGCGGCTTTGTGTTTGCATCTATTGATAGTCTTACAACAGATCATAATATTTTTTATCAATGTGAAAACAAAATCTCATGATGAGATATTTAAAAGATATGTACAGCAAGAGAAAAAGCTATAGGGTCAAGGATGTAAAAGTATGAATGAATGGAGATTGAGAGGGAAAGTGAGTGAAAAGTTTGAATGAATGTAGAGTTGGTCATAGAAAAAGAATGAAAGAGGGTTAAAGTTGCAAAATAAATATATAAATGAAGAGTCAGGTGCATCTGCAGAGGCTGTGACTAACATCAGAATGGTGGGTGTGGAAGTTCTACCCTTTTTACATGCGATGCATTTGATACAAATTTGATTTGATAAAAGGACTTTGATTGTCTGGTCACCTGCAATTTTGCAGGGTAAACTGGAATGAATGTAATCCTCAAAGAGAGAAGATGTTGGGCTTGATGTTAATTAGCTTTAACTTTTTTCTTTTAGGTTAACTTTTTCTTATCTCATGCCTTACACTTCTTACTCAATTTCTGTTTTCAGCATAATGTTTATCCTGAACAAAAACAATATGATGGATATGTATGTATTTATCTTCCTTGTCTTTTTATTTATTTTGCAATTGTTACCTTATAGAATATTAATCTTGAAGAAGAACAGGGAGATGACACAAAGCTTAGCCCTTCACTGCTGGACCTTGTGAGGACACCACAGATGAGGAAATACACATTAATTTTGATGTATAACTGGTAAGAGGCCATTTATTTCATGCATTTCTTTGAATCCTTGTTTACTTTAGCTATGCCAGCTATGTTGGCTCTATTGGTACACACATAACCCTAATATGTAACATTTACAATTTTTTGTACAACTGAGAGTCAGGTAATCCCTTGGTTAGAGTTCATATTTTGCTTGAAGCTCAGACTCCTCTGCTGATTAAAAAATTGGGTCCATATTCTTAGAACATTATTAGTGGTAAAAAATAAACCAAAGCCACCAAAGAACACAGTGTCTGGATACCATCAAAACTGACACCAACTACAACATAGAAAAACTAAAAGAAGTAGTGCACGATTGGAAGATGTGGAGACACTGACTGGCCCATAGAATCACCCAAGTGTTGGACATGATCGAATAGATAATATCATCATCATCATTCTATAACATTAAGCCTTGCTCCAGACAGTTCTTTTTTCCCCCATACTGAGTGTTCTGAATACATTGGAATTGTATTGCCCTGAAAACATTACAGTTTGGAGAACCAAACTCTTTTTAACAGTAAAAATCCCAGAAGACAAAAAAGCTTCTACCGTGCTAACAAAACTTGATCATAAACCCAGCTTGCTTATATTAGTAATATAATGTGAGATTGACATGTGAAATCTGGAGCACTGATTTTTTTCAAGGCTTGTGGTTCTGTAAACTGCTTAGAGAGAGTTGTAAAATCACCGTGAAGCAGTATATAAATCTAAGTGCTATTGCTAGACAATAAATCTAACCCCAATTAACTGTTGTTCCTCCTATTTTCCTAGGTTCACAAGTGCCATAATGTACCAAGGACTTATTATGCACATAGGAGTTGCTGGTGGAAATGTTTACCTGGATTTTTTCTATGCCACCCTTATTGAATTTCCAGCTGCTTTCATCCTCATCATTACCATAGAGCGGGTGGGTCGTCGTTATCCCTGGGCAGCTTCTAATCTGGTGGCCGGAATTGCTTGCCTTATTACAGCTTTCTGTCCAGATGGTAAGTACATAATGTCTGTCCATCTTTTATAATTGCCCTGACCAAGGGCAGCTTGAGGAAAATGCTGCAAGAATTTACTTTAGCAAAATTGTGGCCACAAGCAGCCTATCTGCAATGGNTGGTTCCTTCAAAATTAATTTCATGTCCTGTAGCTTTAAGGTGCTAGAAAAGGGAGGAGGTTTTTTCTTTTTTTCTTACTGCGTTCTTGTGTTCTGCGATGTGTGCATTTATTCTCCTGTTCGTTTGTCCTATGTATGTTGCAGAGCAAATTTTGCATGGTATTTCGTAGACTCCTTGGTTTTCTAGGATTTTGTCTTTGGGGTTTCTTAAGATGTTGGCTATTTTTTGGTTACTGTTGAAGGCTGAGACACACACACACACACACACACACACACACACACACACACACACACATATATATATATATATATACACTCGAAAGTATATAGTCTTGGAGACTTGGCAGGTATAGATTGAGAACTCATTAAAAAAAATTGAAAGTTTCTTAGTGTCCAAACAAGAATTTCCTTAGATAACAGTTCCAGAAATCATAAAGGAGGGTGTATGCCCATACCAGCCTGGAGTGGCCAATAGGAGATTGGGTTCTAGCTCCCAGGAGTCAATCTGATCTCATAAGATACGGAATAATTGGTAAAGCATGCCAGAATATATTCACATTAAAACTGTTTTTGGAGAAATAAAGGGAGAAAGCAGCCGTTCAAAACCAAAATAGCCAAGTTTGAGTTAAAGCTACCTTTGGTACAACCAGGGATCAAATGATGGCAGCTTCATGAGGACATGGAGCAAGGAAGATGTTGGTGGGTTATATTTATATTGCAATTAGCCACAGATGAACAAAGGTTAAAAGAGAGTACAAGTACCTTTTGTTGCAATAATGTGGATTTAACGCAATGAACTGAGTTGGTTCATTTGTAAGTTTACCATGTTTTTTAGGGTGCTTCTGAATTTTTGTGCCCAGATCTCTGGATGATTTTGTCCACCAATTTAATCCAAATGTTGCATTAAATTGAATCTGGAGGCACTTCATGAATCAAAACCAAGGGATAAGACAGAAGCTACAGCACTATTTTTTGAGACATCCCTTGCAAATAATGGCAAGATGAGCGTGAACAAATTAAATAATTATTTAAATAAACAAGCAAATAAAAAGCAGAGTCATTAAAGCACTATACCTCCTAAGTTGGACCCAGAGTTCCAGGAGGATGTCATGGTTAATATTACTAAAAGCCACTGAGAAACCAAAGAGATCAAAGATATTGGTAGACTATGTATCATTTCCATCATTTTCTTCCAGTTTCAAAATTGATCTCCCTTATTAGTTTTTTATTGTTTGAAACAAATGTGTTTTCCACCATTTCTTTTGCTTACAGGCATTCTTTCTAATCAAAGCTTACAAATAAGCTATTTGTCAATTAAGAATTAATATGGAAAGTTGTCATTTTATTTTTCAGTCACCGAAATTGTTGGTCCAAGCTACAGGAGGACTGTGGCCATTCTCTATCAAATGGCATATGGTTTTGGCCTCCTCATTCTCAATGCTTTGGCTTATGCAATTCCCAACTGGAGGTGGCTTCAACTTGCTGTTACTCTTCCAATGTTCCTTCTCTTACTCTACTACTGGTAAGAACGTCTTGCTCGGTCAGTCTTTTGCCTATAATATCCAAGGAATAGATTCTATTATGGAACAAGGGAAGATTGCGTCTAGTGGAATTAGGATAGGGATGAAGAATCTCCTGGTGATATTAGATTCCAACATCAAGCAGTCATATCCTCCATAGCAATTGTGAAGGATTGTGGAAGTTGTAATTTAACAACACCATGAGGCCCATAATTACTTGCTTATTTTTAATAAATGACTCAGCTTGGTTCCCAGTAACTCATCTTCCTCTCTTCTGCACAAAAGTGAATTATTTCTATTTAGTGGCTATTTCCCACAAATTACTAAACTACTAAGCCAGTCTAGCCAAAATCATGGTTGCCACCAGATATCCTAAGAACTAGAGTGGTGAAGGATAGACTTTGAGATGAGTTTATTGTAATAAAACATTCTCCTTTTTGAGAGACATGTATGCTAAGATTGCCTTAAAGCAGTGGTTCTCAACATTTTCTGCATTACAGTCACCCTTTAAATACTTTTTGTGGCCATGGAACATGACTATGGAACATGACCCCCCCCCCAAGACTTAACCCAAAATTTAAATCATAATATTTCTTCAAGCCTTTGCAGACCCCCTATGATGACATTGTGGCCCCCAGGTGTCCACAGACCACAGGTTGAGAACCATGGCCTTAAAGAATGATTATATGGTATCAACAGCCTCCCCTGCAAAGCTTTATTTTTTATTGCTATAAGCCAACAAAGGCTGCAAAAGGGTTTGTGACCAATAAGGGGTCACTCCAGCTTCAAAGGTGGTGCTACCTGTGACCTCAAACAAGCCACCTTTGAGTAAAGGAGTGAAGGAAGCCAAGAACATGTAGTCATAGTCATCTATTTGTCAAGAAATAAACAGAAACCCACCCAGCCCTTATCATCCTACAAGAATAAAATAATGTTTGTGTGGCATCCAACAATTGATTTGTGAATAACCAGGAACAATAGGTAATTTTCATTGCTTGCTTCTCCTACATCTCCATTTCCTTCGGAACTATGTTACTGCTGTCTAACCTGCTATGGATGTATTCCTTTTATGAAATAATGCTGTTCGTATCACATAACAGTAAATTGGTTATATCTTTAAAGTGCAACAAGCCTATTTTAATTAATGCATGTAGAAGAAGGTAGATGTCTGGTCCCATCCTATGAGCTTGTTTTTTGCCATGAGCATTTCTGGACCAGATTAATGATTCCAGTTCTTTTGTAGGTGCATCCCTGAGTCACCCAGGTGGCTAATCACTCAAGGACAGAATGCCCGAGCTATGAAACTCGTGGATGAAATTGCTAAAAAAAATGGAAAAGTTGTACCAGCCTTTTTTGAGGTGAGTCTTAAACACTACATGTGCCTACTTATTATTGGTAGGCTTTTGTCATAGGATGTTGTCGCAGTCTATTAACCTTATCTGATCTTCTTCCTCCTCTGATTCATTAGATGGATTTGAATCTTTCAGTAGTGGATTTGAGCAGACACATGGATGGTGGGTGGTGTGTACTACACATTTACACTGCCAGAAAGATGCATCTACCATGAATGATGGGGTTTGATGGGATTTTAATATTGTATTATTTTTCATTAGGAAACCTGAAAGAACATATTAGGGATAGATCATCATGGAAAAAAATCTGTGATTCCTGGGAATTGAAAGTGACTTGATAGTACCTTCCTTCCTCCTTACTTTTTCCATTTATATGTTGCCCTATTCCCTAAAAGGGACTCAGGGCGGCGAATAACTCCAGTGGGAAAGGGAAACATGCAATACAAAATAGACATTTAAAATAACCAACAACAACACCTGTCGAGAGGGGAAGGGAGCTCATCAACCCCAGGCCTGCCGGCACAGCCAGGTCTTAACGGCTTTTTGGAAAGCCAGGAGAGAGGTGAGGGTCCGAATCTCCGTGGGGAGTTCA